ATTGTATGTTGCGGTCCACTTGTCAGTATTACTAAGGGCAAAGTGTTCTCTGCTGGGCCATCGACAACTTCTTCCATGTTCGTGGCCTCGTCGTAGTGTAGCACGCCGGTTAAATCATCAATCGTGGCGACTAAGTGGGTGGTGGGTGGGGTGTAAATTTCACGGTCGTCGGCTTTAATTCCAATCTTATCGTAAATCGAAGTCTTGCCGTCCGAGATTGACATACTCTGGATTCGTTCAAGCATATTGTTCAAGTCAAATAGCTCTGTGGGGTTCATAGCCTGGTTGTAGGCGGGGATGACTCGAAGTACGCCCGGCGTGTAGCTCGGCACGTTTTTGGCGTGCAGAGGATCCGGGAGCGAATCCAGATCCTGCACCAAGGTTGGCTCTAAATCCGACGTAGTTGCAGAGATAGGGTTGGACTAGAATCCGATCCGGGGGTCGGGGCGAGATTGCTCAGAGTCTTGTCAGGGTTCTCTGGTGATGCCAAGGAGCCTTGTCTGATGTCCTCGAAGGAGATCGGTTCCGAAGTCGAGCTCCCGGTGCTTGACAGATCTTCAACTCGGTCGGGCGTCCAGCCCGACAGGATGTGCTCGCCGCGGGAATCCGCATTGTACTCTAGGTATCCAAAGGTAACGATTTGACCCGAGGCGTAGTTCTTCACGGAGGCGAGATGACTTGCTGAGTCGACGCCAAAGACCATTGCTACCGAACACAAAAAGTTGGCCGCGGACCTAGACGTTCCCGTTGCTGTTGCCGCAGTTGACCTGCTGATGAGCCATCGATCCTTTTGTTGATCTCACAGTAGAACTCTCAATGGAAGTACCAGTATCGGTGTAAAAACCGACAGACCTCAGGGTAGGGGGTCCCGAGCTGTGGATCTCGGATAGATGGTAACAGGAACAGAGAGACGATGTTTTACCTAGGTTCGGACCATCTTGATGAAGGTAAAACCCTACGTCCTTCTCTTGTTTATATTGATGGAGATGTATCAACTACAGAGTTGATCTACCTCGAGATCTTGAGATGTATTCTAACCCTAGGGCTAGGTGAATACGAATGTGTTGAAGTCCCTTCTACGGGCTAAACCCTCCGGATTATATACACGTCAGCTAGGGGATCTAGGGTTACAAAGTCGGTATCTAGGCGTGGAGGCGGCAGGAGAAGCCCGGCAAGTCTTCGACAGAGGCAACCTTGATTACTCCTCGAGCGTGCAACTTCCAGAGTCCATCTTAGGAAGAATAAGGCCCACTGGCCCATACCGAGGAACATAGGCCGACTACGTTAGCGCTCCTTAGTCTAGGACACTGCCAAACGCCATTCTTTGTATTATCAAAGGGGTCCTCAGATTTGTAATCTAAGACTATGGCTACAGTGAAATATCATCCCCATTGTGGTCCGGACGTCAACAACATGCTACAAGCCCATGATTTGTGTGAGGACCTCCTTGGAGAGTGAATTCAGGTTGAGCACGTAGCTAAAACCATTTTGATCCTTTCATGAACTAGTTGCCATATGATGGGTTCATCACCGTGTCTGTTGTGATGCCGTCCTGCGTAATGGTCACCTTTTGGGCCGGTGCGGGCGTCTGTGCCATCGAGGATGCATGTCGTCTGCGCGACACACATCATGCAGCACCTAAGCCTGCCAGAGGATATAAATTTCTCTAGTATTGAGCTTCTCCGACGACGGTGTGCCGAGGGTTGGGACTTGCGTGGTGAACGAGGAATCGATGGGCAGTGCGAGTATAGATGACCATGTAGGATATGGAAATTTGAACTCTTATGTGGGTATTTCACACAAGTCCTTTTAAGAAGAATCATTTCCTCTCTTCTTCTTTTTTTGAAAAAGAAAACCCTAAGTCCTAACTGGAAACTCCTAAAAAAAACTGACGAACCCGTGCCCAGCTCAGCTTTTTTAGCGTAGGAAATTTCATACTGCTTGCTTATTAATTTGCCTGGCGCCTGCATGTGCATGTCCATGTGGTTGCCTGCTTGCGTCCCCATATCATAAGAGTCGATGCTGTGGTAGGCTGTTACCTTAGGTCTCGGTGCATCCGTCGGCCAAGATGGACTGTAACTCTGTATGTATGTATGTATGTATGGAGGGATGCCAAAACCCAACTTGGCGCTGATACAGATCTGTATACAAGAGCATATTATATATATAATATAATAAGGCAGTAAAATCCGTTGGACGATTGTATGTGCTGGCCACTCCGCCATGTTCGGATCAGCCAACAATTTTTAAAGAAACAAGGACAGTGTATGCAAGATTCCTCCCTGCGCTGATGAGCAACCGGACGGAGAAATTAACTGGCATGGATCACCGCCACCTTCACATGGCCTCAACGATAGACCTGCAGCTCCAACCCCGCCCCATGTGAGCTCTAGCCTATCATCCGGTGCGACGCTTAGGATGATAGCATTGTGTTACACTCCCTCCGAATCAAAATAAGTGTCTCAACTTTGAGTTTTAGTGTAAAATTATACTAAAGTCGAGACACTTATTTTAGAACGGGGAGAGTGCTTCTTTTGCACAAGCACAAAAGAAGTTCCTATGATGTTATACTTGTTTTGTGTGAAAGTTACGCTGAATACGTATGCATGTAACGGTAGCATTTGCGTTTCTGAAACTTCAGGTCGATCCCCATGTGACTGAGCTATGACGTCGATCATGTACTACGTCTTCTTGGATCCTCCTTGCGAGCTTGGAGATGGCCTTTCCAACAGCTCAAGTGGCAAACTAATCTGGATCTTGCGCTGCACAACCCCCAAAACTCGAATCTTTTATTGCGTTGGATGCTAGTAGTACTCTCCTCTATGCCTGTGGCCGTGGAGCAACTATAAAACAAGCCATCAAGGCCTCGTCCAAGACGCGCTCACATTTCTACCTTTCTACCCAAAACTTTCTCCCACCACACACACCAACTAGCTAGCTAGGCCTAGCCGGCCGGCGTTCGGGACCACCCCGGCCGTCGGAGGAGATGGAGACGGCTATCGGTGCTGCCAACTGGCTCGTCGGCAAGGTGTTGGACAAGCTGTCCGACGACTTGGTGGCCGCGTATTTGGCCAGCACCAAGCTCGGCCACAACTCCGAGAGGGTCAAATTCCAGCTGGAGCACGTGAAAGGGCTGCTGCAAGCGGCCCAAGAGAGGGACGTGAGCAGGAACCCTGGCCTGAAGAGCTTGCTGGAGCAGCTGAGCAAGAAGGCCGATGAGGCTGAGGACGCGCTGGATGAGCTGCACTACTTCCTGATCCAGGATCATCTCGATGGCACCAAGGAGGCCATGCCGGAGCCTGGTGATGGCCTCCGTGCTCGTGCTCTCCATTCTCGCCATGCTGCTCGGCACACATTCGGTAACTGGCTCTCATGCTTTTCTTGCTCACCTACACAAGATGATGTTTCTGCTGCTGCTAGTGTTGTTACCATCAGCAACCATCACAATGCAACCAAGTCTGATTGCGGTAATTATGATGGTGGCTATGTTGCAAAGCTGAAATTCAATAGAGTGGACATGTCCAAAAAAATCACGTCAGTGATAGAGGGAATACACGATCTATGTGATCCGGTCTCTGACCTGCTGAATAAAATCCCAAACCATACCACATCTACCACCGTAAAAAGGCCTCTCACGAGCTCAGTGGCTCCACCAGATAGGTTGTATGGGAGGGATGCCACCTTTGAGAAAACCATAAGTGCACTCACTGGTAGCAGATATCAGAGTGAAACACTTTCTGTTATGCCTTTTGTCGGCCCTGGGGGTATAGGAAAGACAACTTTCACCCAACACTTGAGTAATGATAAAAGGATTGAAGAACACTTCATTGTTAGGGTCTGGGTATGTGTTTCAAATGATTTTGATGTGCTTAAGCTCACCCAGGAAGTCCTGAGTTGCATATGTGAAAATGGAAAAAAAGATGAAACCTCCAATTTGGACAAGCTTCAGAAATCGATTGCAGATGAACTGAAGTCCAAAAGATTTTTAGTTGTCCTAGATGATATATGGAGTATCAGTAGTGAAACCGAGTGGAAGAAATTATTGGCCCCATTCACAAAGGGGGAAACCAAGGGTAGCATGGTTCTCGTCACAACCCGGTTTCCATCTATAGCACAAAAAGTGTGCACAACTGATATAGTAGAACTGGATGGTTTGGAGCCTAATGACTTCTTGGAATTATTTGAAGCATCTATATTTGCTGGTCATAACAAACCTGGGAACTATGATGATGAGTTAATTGATGTTGCAAGAGAAATTGCAAAGAAGCTAAAGGGTTCACCACTAGCAGCCAATACGGTTGGTCGGTTATTAAGGAAACAATTTAATCGGGAATATTGGATAGGAGTTCTTGAAAAGGATGAGTGGAAAAATGCAAAAGATAAGGACGATATTATGCCATCTCTAAAAATTAGCTATGATTACTTACCTTTTCAGCTGAAAAAATGTTTTTCGTATTTTTCCCTCTTTCGTGAAGATTATCAGTTTACTAGTTTAGAAATGACTCAGTTTTGGACTGCCATAGGTATCCTAGATATTAATGATCAAGAAACTAAAAATTACTTCGAAGAACTACTAGAGAATGGTTTTCTCAAAAAGGTTGTTAATCCGTATAGGGAATTCTATTTGATGCATGATTTATTGCATGAACTATCTCGGAATGTTTCATATCAAGAATGTGCCAATATAAGTAGTTTCCCGTTTAGTGCTGAAAAAGTCCCACGATCTATTCGACACTTATCAATCAACCTACAACGTAAATATGATGAAAGTTTTCAGGAACAAATGGGTAAACTTAAGCATAGGATAGACATTGCAAATTTGCGTTCGTTGCTGATTTTTGGATTACGTGATGAAATAATAGCGAATATTTTAAAAGATACATTTGAAGATTTAAAGGCTGTCCGAGTTCTATATGTACACATGCAAAATCCAAAATCTTTGCCTAACAGTTTTCCAAACCTTTTGCACCTCCAATACCTTAAACTCAGTTCACGCTACGATCCTGAAATGGATTTACCTAGCACCTTATCTAGATTTTACCACTTGAAATTCCTGGACCTCAAAGATTGGTATGGTAGTGAAAAGTTGCCTAAACACATTAGCCACCTTATTAATTTACACTATTTTCATTGTAATCCTGGCGAAGAACTCCATTCCAATATTCCCGAGGTTGGAAAGATGAAGTATTTACATGAGCTGAAAAAGTTCCATGTTAAGAAAGAGAGTACTGGATTTGAATTGAGAGAGCTAGGGGGGTTGAGTGAGCTCAGAGGAGTACTCTGCCTATGCAATCTTGAAGCTGTGGCTTCTAAAGGAGAAGCTTGTGCTGCCGAACTGAAGAACAAAAAGAATTTGAAAGAGCTGCAATTAGTTTGGAGTACTGCGCATCAGACCGCAGATGATGATGTTCTTGACGGTCTTCAACCACACCCTAATCTTAGGGTGCTTGGCATTATAAATCCTGGTGTTGCCCCTTGCCCTAGATGGTTGTGTGGTGACATTAGCCCAAAACACTTGGAGTCTCTCCATCTAGAGGGTATATCTTGGGGTACTCTTCCACCTTTTGAGCATCTACCACACCTCTCCAACCTCGTTTTGAGTAATATTGCTAGGATGAGTGTCTTCGGGCCTCTCTTTAATGGCATTACAGATAAAAGTTTCATGAAGTTGAAGAAAATTGAGTTTGAGAACATGAGGGAACTTGTGGAGTGGGTCGGTGAACCTAATAGCCATTTCTTTTCAAGGCTTGAAAGTATTGGATTTAGAAATTGCCCCTTGCTCTCCAGGTTTCCCTTCATGGAGTGCTCTGAGCGTTTTACCAACTTGCTTAGCCTTGCTATTGTTGCGTGCCCCAAGATTTCTCAGCTCCCCCCCATGCCCCACACCTCCACAATGGAAAATATTACTGTGTCAAATGGCCAGGCAAAAGTTATGGCAGAACTGACATATTTTGGAACATCTTTGTATATTGATGGGTATAATGATGAGTTGGCTTTCCACAACATGGATAAAATAGAGGATCTGCATATTTTGGATGCATCGAAAATTTCGATGTTACACCTCCAAAAGCTAAACTCACTGAGAAGTGTACATGTCAGAAAATACAGAAGCATGTTCTCTGTAGAACTCGATGCTAGTGTTACCCTGCATTCAGTCCAGAAACTTCACCTAGCTGAATTAAGTATTACAGAGGAAGTGTTTTCAATGGTGTTTAGGTGTTTTCCAGCTCTTTGTCAGCTTAGCATCAGCAAATGTGAAATCTTGGAGCTTTTGCATGTGGAGGATGATGAAGAACCATGTAACCCCACCATACACCAATCATTTGCTGCATCGTCAGTGTTGTCTCAGGAGTCCATGGGAAGCGGTAACACCATCAAACCTTTCCCATCTTCCATCAAGGAACTTGGGATTTACGAGGTCTCTGGCTTTAAGTCAATGGCCCTACTCTCCAACCTCACATCCCTTACCAGTCTATGCCTGATAGATTGTGAAGAATTAACGATGGATGGATTCAATCCTCTCATCATAGTCAACCTCAAGAAACTGTATGTCTTCAACCAGACTTCAGCCAAACAGAAGATCTCAATAGCAGGGGATTTGTTGTCAGAGGTAGCAAGGAGTGGATTAATGCAGGAAGGATCATTCAAATTGGAAAAACTGGAGGTGGATAGCATCTCGGGGGCTCTTGTTGCTCCCATTTGCAGCCACCTTGCTTCAACCCTCCGTTTATTAATGTTCAGTCATGATATGCGAGCGGAGTCCTTCACGGAAGGGCAAGAGCAGGCGCTTCAGTTCCTTACCTCCCTCGAGTTTCTGAGGTTTATAGAATGCCGTCATCTGAAGTCCCTCCCAAGGTGTAATCGCCTTTCTTCTCTCACGCAATTGGTGTTCCGTGAGTGTGCAATCCAATCGCTGCCACCCAAGGAGGACCTGCCCGCTTCACTGCAGAGCCTACGTTCCATAAATTCTAGTCCTAAGCTAAAAGAGACCATGAAGAAGTTGCAACGAACAGACCCATACTTCTCAACAATAGTATATGGTATGTTACATTCATCTTCCGCTTTTTCTAATTGAGCTGATGCCTCCTCGTATGCCTAGCCTCTGAAAACTGACTGGTTACTCATTTCAATTACAGTGTGAGTCCTTCCTGCAGCAGAGTAAGTTATGAGTCCTTCCAGAACCGCACAACCCACTGTATAATACGGTCATACATTCAAGTCAATCTGCCGGAAGACCATCAATCTACTGGTTAGAAAATGGTAATAAACTTCTGCTCCTTAATTCATGATTCCACTCACAGTGCTCTTGTTTTTTGAGGTGCCATAGTTTGCTTCTAACGGCAGTGTGTCCCGCTTTTGCTGGACCACATCAAGTCAAATTTTCCTATGTGAAATATTAAAGGCGACAAATTGTGTGATCTTCTTTTTCAGAAGTAGAAGCAGATATGAAGAATCGGGAGGTGACAGTAGTTGCAGCAGCTATGGATTCTACAAACAGTGCCCTATTTTGAATGAAACTAACAGCACTATGTTAGTAGATTTTTTACCCCCTTCTAATGTTGCAAGCTTTTACATTCACAAAATAATAGTCCTTTATGTTCTTCATAATCTCAGGAACATTCCAGGTGTGTGCATGGCTATCAATTATAATTACGAGATTATAGTTCCGTGAGTGGGCCCATCACCATCGTGATGGCATTCTTCTTCTGAGGTCTGTATTTGTTATTAATTAGTCAAGCAAGAAAGGGGTACGAAACTCGAATTGCTACATGCACCTTAGTAGACAGTTATAATGTTTTCTACTGGTGCGGAATATCGTACTAGACCTAACATCATGCATGGGAACATTGCAGGTTCTGTACTTAACTTCCCTGGAGCATTGACCAACTTGTTCGGGCAATCACCGGCCAATTTGATAGGTCGTCTTTCACGAGATGAACAATCAACCACAATTCCACAAAGGTGAGTTAGTTATTCTTTCTGTCAAAAGGTTTAGACCTTTGTGGCTGTATGCTGGCTTCTGGGACATGAATCATTCTGACTTGTGTGAACTTGGTTCAGTCGTTCAGGTTCTCTTCATATTTTGTTCATTGTTGGGGAACCCAAACATGGAGGGAGTCATGGACTCATGGTACTCATGGTTTCTGACTATCATGACTACTTCGGATGATAGGTGCCACAATGTGCGTCCTCTCTAGTTTGCCAAGCTTATTGATATAGTAGTACAAACTATTATGCAGTTAACCAATGTATTATGCAGTTAACCCATGAGTGCTTGTGGCTTGTATGTGCCCACTACAATTTCGCAAGCACCCCTTCCCCCATCCTCGCCGCCGTGCTCTGTGCCATAGGGACGACGAGTGGTGGCACAACCACGTGCACTGCATCCTCTGGATACATTAAGTCACCAGCTTTCGCCGTGTCATGGATGTCCGCACGTCGCTGCCAAACATGTATTCTGAAACTTAAGACATGGTATCCTATTCTGTTGAGGACTTACAGACATATGCCGGTATATATAAGTTTTGACACATTGATTTCATATGCTTTGACGCCTTTTGATAGATTTCGATATATCCAATTCTGCAGTCAACTCACGAAGTGCAATTACTCAAATTCTGTGGAAAAATTCCGAGAGCTCTGTCAGTTGGCAATTCAGGACATAGATGTTTCCATCAAAATAATACTTGCAATGGAAGATTTTCAGAAGCGGCAACTCCAAAAAGGTTAGTTGGCCATTCTGTCCGTCAAAAGTGGCAATCCTCTGTTCAGCGCCTTTTGTGGTTTGCACCATATTGACTTCTGAACTTGTTGTAACCGCCAGGTTTTCCATTATCTGTTGTGGCTCTGTGCTTCCCTACCAGGGAAGCCAAACGCGAAGAAAGTAATGATATCGTGATTAATTCATCGATGCTCCGGTCGATAGGTAGCACATATTTATTTTCTTAACTTTGCAGGTGATCATTATTGTTTTTGGTTATTCAATTCCTTATTTTTTTTGTTTCATAAAGGGGAGGAGCATTCATCCAAATATGCACCGTGAACCTTAAATTGGTGTTTCCCTATTATGCATCCAGCATTCCGAGATCAATGCTCGTAAGTAATGTACCAGTTTTCACATAATTGATTTCGTATATTTGATTTTGTTTTACCAACGGCAAATTTTAACATGGTCCCTCTGACCCCCTCTTTTTACATGTGAGGTAAGAACGTAAGAGATAATCAGACCACTAATTAATGAGATCGACGGCTCAGATCTCAGATCTATTATATACTCTTACCTCTCATGTGAAAATAGGAGGTAAGAGGGAGCATGTTAGTGAAGCGGCAAATGCTATGTATCTACTTTTCAGTGGAGCGGCAAAGTAAGTTGAATATTTTTGCTGCTAGCTAGCTAGTAAGAGCCTAACCTTTAAAGTATCTACTTTTCAGTGGAGCGGCAAACGCTATGTCCACACACCAAATCCCCGATGCAGAGATGCGCACAAAGCCATGACATTCCACTCTCTCAGCGGCTCGGTCACCCACGGCCAGGCTCTTCCCGCAGACGGAACCAGGTAGCCCTCTTGTTCCTCACCGGCATGAGGTGCTCCATGGGGCTTGCATGAGTTATAATTTTCAGAATTGATTTACTTTTTCGAAAAGTAGAATTACCCACTGCCTCTGCATCAGAATGCAGCATGCAACCATATTCAGGTGCGGATCCAGCCCAGCCCAGCGCCCTCTTTGTATACTGTAGCAATTGCTACAGTCTACAAAGAAAATGGGCCTGGCGCCTAGATCCGCCACTGACCATATCATTTCCTGAATTGATGCCAACTACAACGTCTCTGTTGTTGGCCTACCCACTAGCTGCGTGGTTTACTACCTGTAGTCCCGACTCGTATGTTTGACCTCGCCATCTTGGACTGCAGCACGGCATGTACCCACGTCACCGACATAATTTGAGGCAGCTGCTGGGAATTCGGCCAGTCCACCTTCAAGCAACATAAGGTGCGCCTTACTGCCGCGCGACAATTTTTCTCATGTTTCCAATCAAATAAATGCTCTGATTATAATGTCCTATTTTTTTTATTTCAGTCCCTATGTAGGAACTAGGAAAAGCTACAGCAACATATACTCTGAAGCTTAAAGCGGCGCTCCGTTCTGCGTCCTGGACTCTGGGACCCTGTTGTTACCTCACGAACGAACTGAATCTTTGTACCTCCAATTTTACGGGGGTGCAGCATCCTCAATATCCACTACATTCTATACCTCGGGCGTTGGTGCGCCCCGCCTCTGCTCCTATGCCTACTCCATCTGCTACGCCGACAACCTCGCCATCCACCTGGGTGACCTGGCCAGCATCGCCGTTGTAATTTGATGCCCACACCGGCCGAGCGCCTGCAGGCAGCAGCTCACCATCCACGCCATAATGTTCTGCGTCAGCAGCACACTAGTTTGATTCATCTCCAAAACATCATGCAACGACTTACCTGAGCTGTTAACTGAATGACTTCTTGACATACATGAAAACGGATCGTCCATTTCTTTCTTGCGTTTAGATGATAAATATATCATTGTAACAGAAGGTTTAGATCGTCTTGATGACAACTAGACATCAAGGAATATGTCCAGTTTCAACAACTCGGTGTGCATATTTTCAGACATAAAAGAACAATCATTTCGCTCATAGTTTCTATTGAGAACAGCAACTTGGTACTACGAGGAGACCAAAGCCAGCATATAATCCATATATACATATACAAGAGGATGCCAACAGGTTACAATATAACTCTGACACCCCGTTCAAACTTATGATGGATCCACAATTTTGAGTTTGGAGAGGTGAAATCCATGTTACACTCTAGTCTAAGCCTTTGTAAAGAAGTTTGCTAGCTCTAACTTGGAAGGCACATACTAAAGAGCAATAATATGTTCCTGTACAGCAGCACACACAAATGAAGCATCAAGACCAACATGCTTGGTAAGCTCATGCTTCACGAGATCCCGCCCAATACTGATAGCACATGTACCGTCTGATAAGAGGGCAGTAGGGGTAGTATCAGAAACACCATAACCCACCACTAACCATCGTAGCCAAGTCACCTCTACCGTCAGAAAAGCCATAGCTTGCAACTCGTCCTCTACTCAAACAGGAAAATGTAGTTTGTTTCTTCATCTTCCCGGCAACGAGAGAACCATCAAGAAAAACAAAGTAAGCAGAAAATTAATGGGGGTTTCCGAAGGATCACTTGCCCACACGTAGCATCCGAATATACATGGAGCTATAATAACCTGGAACTGGAAAAAGGCGATGAGAGATCGTGCCACAAAAATATCATAGAACAGGAAGAAGGTGACTGCAATGAACTAAAGTGGCAGCAGAAATAAACTGACTCGGAATATGGATAGGATAGGAGATATCCAGACGAGTAACAACAAGATAGACAAGACTCCCCACAAGATGACGATAACGTGTCGGAACAGACAAGGGCTCGCTATCAGAAGCACGAAGATGAACATTGAGCTCCATAGGAGTCTCAACAGTGCGCTCATCACTAAGAGCCACACGAGCAAAAAGATCATGAATATACTTTTTTCGGAAATAAAAAAGGCATCAGAGGTGGAGGAAACCTCAATCAAAAGAAAGTAACGAAAAGGACAACGATCAAACATAAGGAACTTTTCAATGAGATGGGCCTTGACAAAGGCAATGTACTAAGAATCGTTACCAGTGATGATCATGTCATCAACATATAGAAGAATAAGAGTTCGACCACTAGCAGAAAGGCGAAAAAACAATGTTGGGTCATGAGCCCCGGGAAAAAACCAGCTGCGGTGACCACAGAGGCAAAGCGCTCAAACCAAGCGCGGGGGCTTGCTTACGGCCATAAAGAGAGCGATGAAGACGATATACCATGCTATCGGGAACTGAATACCTAGGTGTTGGCTGCATATAAACCGTATTAAAGGCATTTTTAACATCAAGGTGAGACACAAACCAATGACGAACAGAGGCCACATAGAAAAGTGTTCGGACAATGGTCATATGGGCCATAGGAGCAAATTTCTCATTGTAACCACAACCATGCTCCTCCTGAAAGCCATGGGCCACAAGACGAACTTTATAACACTTAAGAGTAACATCCGAGCGAGTTT